GAGAGAGAGAGAGAGAGAGAGAGAGAGAGAGTACGCACGAAAGTGAAATGGCGAAGAAGGCTAACGTACGCATCCTGGCGTATTGTGACTCTGTGAGGTCCCTCTATCCCCTCATCTACCTCACATCACACACACACACACACACACACACTCTTTCTCTCTCCTCTGTACTGCGCTTTCACTCTCTCTTCTGGTCGTGGCTCTCGCCTCTTTATAACCCCCCTCAAACCCTCCATCGGACATTCCACAGTTCTTCCCACATTCTCTCTCTCATTCTCATACCCAACAATCAATCAACAAACACAATCCTCCCCTGAGATTCGACGACAATGGATCCGCCGTTGGTCAGCGAGGCTTCCTTCACCGCCACCGCCAACCCGACTTCCTACAGCCTCGCCGGGCTGCTCTCCATTCCCACCGGCGGCGGGAGATTGGGCCTCAGAATGCGCGGCCTCGACGGAGTCCTGATGGAGGATTCTGCGGTGGCGGAGCTCGGCGCCGGAAAGAGGGTGAGGGATGTCGGGAATTCGTTCGGCGACGGCGCTGCTAATAAGCAGCTTGTTTCCGCCATTGCTGCTAATCAGAATTTGGTAAATCCTGTTCCTCTAGCTGTAATTTTACTGTTGATTTTAGCTGATTCTGTTGATTTCTGTTATGATGAATGGCTTAATTTAGCTCGAGATTACTATTTTTTTGTTTCTTTCAAATTTTCGTTGAAAGCTGATATAATTGGTTTATTTTGTGAATTGATAGGGATTTTGGGAGGTGTAATAGAGGTCATAATCACTTAATTATGCAGTACTTTAGATGGGGTTAAAGTGTGTGGATGTTTACATCTTCAGTCCACCTCCACAGACCATGATGTGCTAATTTGAGCAAACAGTTGAATTCTGTCCATATTTTCTTTTTGTGCAATTTTAGTAAATTTTGTCAACACTACTGTTTGGTGCTTTGTTTATTTATTAGAAAATATATGATCCTCTTTTCTTTCATGACATTATGAATTTTATGTTTACTCTCTATAAGAATGTGTCGAATGGAAAGCGAACAAAGGTATCTGGAAACATGGTCGAAAATGACGGCATGAAAACAGAGGTGGAAGCAAAGCCAGGGCCGGCTCAGGTGAACAACAAGCCGGAGCCACCTAAAGACTACATTCATGTGAGGGCTAGAAGGGGCCAAGCCACCGATAGCCACAGTCTTGCTGAAAGAGTAACTTTCGAGCCCTTCATCTAAGATTTTATTACGTGTTTGTTCGTTTTATATAGCTTCTGATGATGTTATTTTACTCGTTTGTAAGGCTCGAAGGGAGAAAATCAGTGAGAGGATGAAAATTCTGCAGGACTTAGTTCCAGGATGTAACAAGGTGTTTGTTTTAGCATTCTTTTACCCTTCTGGGTTTAGTGTCCTTAAAATTTGGGAAATAAAAGGGTGGGGTGTTAACTTTTTTTTTTCTCCCTTTTCTAGGTTATTGGGAAAGCTCTTGTTCTTGATGAAATAATTAACTACATCCAGTCACTACAGCACCAAGTTGAGGTACAATTTTTTCTCATATAGTTTGCTTTTTTATCTTACCTTTCCAGCAATATTGCTTACCTTTTTGGCTCTGTTCTTTTTCAAAAATGGCTGGTCCAGTTTTTGTCGATGAAGCTTGAAGCTGTCAACTCAAGTGCAAGGCTGAACCCCACAATGGATGAGTTTCCTCTGAAAGATGTAAGTCCAAAGGCATTTACTGATCACATAGACAGTTAATCTGTTTAAATTTTATTATTCTTGTTCTTCTTCATCATTTTCTTTCCTTTTATTTTCCCTATTTTTCCGGCTTCAAAATAATATTCGAATGTACCAGTCGGTTATTTTCTTGCTAGGAAAAAATATTAGTAACACTTAGCATCTAATTCTTTTTCCTTCACATATAGACAATACCTAACAAGTACTAGATGACTGAACGAACAGGAATAACATCTTTGACATAGTAACCCAAGTGATTCGCGATTTTAGCTTTTGATAATTGTGAATATCTCATTAACTGCACGTTAAGTAGAGATATTAGACTTATAAACTGAATGGTATTTGCTCACATGTAATTTTGTGCCTAACATGAGAATAACTTGTTGTTACAATGGATATATTTGTGCTTCAGTGTGTTAAATGGATATTATATATGAAAAAAAGTAGATAAAACTCCGTATTCGGTTTTTCCCTTACTGCATGTGCACTTTTCGTTTTTCATGTTCCTGCTTGCTTTACTCGAACTATAATTTTGTTCACATATTGGCATATGTATTTGATATTTCTTTTGACACTATTCTAAAGGCATCATAAAATCATATGTTACACGTGAACTAAAACATCAAGCGTACGAAGGTTTTAACATATGAAGGTTAGGAAATAAAAAATGTCCGGTAACAGTATACGTCTGGTAAGTATATGCATGCCAACTGTAGATGCCCTTCTGGTCATGTAAACTGCTGCAACAAAGCACCGAACTTTTTTTCCAAAATGTCGCAAAAATTCAAAAAAAAAAAAAAAAATGTTGTTGCTACCTTAATGCTTGTACCAGAACAAAAAGATCACTTCCTTTAAAGATTAATCATAAGATATGGTTGTAAAATTTTGCTCTTGCCATTTTAGTACTAATGTGCATCCAACAATACAACATGACATCTTGATGCTTTTGGCAACTATCCCCTTTTGATCAAGTTGCTTCTTACTTTGAACTTGTGAAGGCCTTGTCATACATGGAAACCTATCTCATGTTTATTTTGAGTAATGTACCTAACCTACTTCCCTTTTTTCTGGCAAATGTCGCTATTTCATATCCTTTTTTTTTTGTTTTTCCTTTTTCTTATCATTTAACTAAAAAAAAAAAAAAAAAAAAAAAAGAAGAAGAAGAAGATCTTGGTCACTTTCCCAGCTCATGGTTGTCCTTGTTATGTTCTTTAAGCTATACACAGATTTGGACCGTTCATTTTCTTGTTTTGCCTTGATGTAATAATATCTCTGTCATCTTCTGGAAGTTGTTCACTTTAACATGTGGTATTTTAGAAAAAAGTTGAATATTCCGGTTTTTGGGGGTAAATCGTAAAACCTTGAGGGTAATTTTGGTAACTTAAAAACTAACTCGAAAAAATGTTCGTCTTGCAGCTTGCTGCACAGGCTTTCGATGCTGGTGGGATGCTATATGGGCCTCAAACACCTATGGACTACACTCGTGGATCACAAGTCGAGTGGCTTCACATGCACATTGGAAATGAATTCGACCGAGCTACGTGAGATGGTCTAACTCTGTCGATTTACACGAGTCGAACAAGCATCGGCTTACAAGGCCTTTCAGTGTGGGATATATAAAGCTCAATGAGAGTAAAGTAATTTGAAGCAGTCCTTTCCATATGTGTGTGTGTGTGTGTAACAAGTGTAGTTATCAGCTTGTAGTCATTATTTGTGAGCGAGAATAATTTGTGCTGCTTATTTATAAGTGTGTTATTAAATATGTGATTTTGTGAATTTCTCCTTTTATTATGTAACATATAGATGGATTGTGCAATGTGGTTTATGTTGTATTGTATTGCTATAGCAAATGTCAATGTCTTGTTGTCTTTAATGGATTTACTATTTTTCTAATTTATTGATCTTGGCTACTAGTTGATAAGGTTTATTTATTTATAATATGGCTTTATTATTAATTTACTATAAGTAGTTAAATAATATTGATTTAAAACTGCTCGACATTCAAATTTTTAAGGTTTTAATCCTTAAAAGTATTTAATTTAATATTTAGCAAACAAGCATCTAATAGCTAATTAATATTTTGTAAATTTAATTATCTATAATTAATACTCAATATATTAATAGTACATACATACAAAGCTAAATTTTTTAAATATTTTTTCAGTCATCTCTTCACAACATCAGTTTTTTGTATTAAAAAATGGAATTTAAAACTCGTTACCAAATAAGTTGAATATAAGATTTTCACAACAAAATAATTATTTTGGATCAAAAAATCTAATTTAAAACTCTTTTTACAATATAAGTCATATATAAAATCTGACAAGTCAAACTTCTCTCTACCAAACACCATTATCTAATTTAAGATCATGAGGCATTAGAAAGTAGCCCAATCACACTATTGATTCTTGGAGTACATGATCATGATGAGTACAAATAACTCAACTTTTTTCATTTTCTTTTTCTTTTTCTTTTTTTTTTCAAAAAAAAAAAGAGTTTATATATGCCTTTTCCCAAATTGCCCTTTAATAAAACATGCCACAAGCCCACATTTAAATTTGCTTTCACAAATCCATTCTTTTAGGTCATTAATTAGCAACTTCTTTATGCCCTTGATCTAATAACTCTTCACACTGCATATTTGGATTTCTCATTACATAGCTTAAGACTTTCATCAAACCCCCTAATTTCGTCGTCTACAAGTAAATTTGAACACAATTGCTCCACCAGAAAGAGAAAAATGAAACAAAAATAAAAAGTTACGCCATTTCTCTTAACTATCAAACTGCACAAGTTCTGCAGGAAATGTAAACGTTGCAAAAGGAATTACAGTACCACGGTTTTTTAAGCTCTTATACGAACTTCATGATTTACGGGCACGATCACGCCAAGAGCCTCGTTGCATAGTCAAAACCTGCAGAGACAAATTGAACAAAGATTTGCGGAAAACTATTAACTTATTGATAACAGCCAGAAATCTCTCTACATTCACTTCGACTCACCTGCTCGCTAAGAAGACTTTTAACAGGGGTACTTTCAATATTTTCTTTCTCGAGACTTTCTTCTTGTGCTTGATCATCTGTTTGTGCAGGTAATGGATGTGAGGAGCCTCCAAACATGGCTTCATCATGGGCAGCCTTGAGTGCGTCCTCTCTCCTCGCCTTTGAACAAATCCACAAGTAAAATGGAAAAATATATTAAACTCCTAAATATTTAAAATAAAAGTGCATAAATAAAGTGATTGTGTATAAAATTACCTCCACAGCAGAAAAACGAAAGCTCTGCCCCATGTTCTTGACTAACACAGCATCATCCTCAGCCGCTGCTAACAGGTGACTAACTTTGTAAGCGTGCTTTGTACGTAGCAGAAATATTTATCTATTTTTTTTAAAAAAAAAAGTTGTATTTTTTATAATTTCATGCAACAAAACTCTCTTAGAAACCAGTTAATGCATATTGCAACAGCATTGCAAATATAATGCAGAAAAGTATAACACAAATGATAATTAATTTCCACTAATGACTTGAAAGGGAATAAAAGTCCGACCTTCGACTTCTTCATCATCGAGAGGGGCATCCTTGTCAAAGTCAAAACGCTCCCATCCGGACCCTTTTCCAATTGTTTCGTCTTTTTCAGCTGCAAAGTTGTATTTATCTTACTGTTAAAGACTAAAGATAAGAAACACAAAAATAAGGTCATGGAATTTCATTAAGCATGATGGATTCTAGTTCAATAACTATGAAATCTAATCAATTGGAAAAGGAAAGATCTTACCGACCTAAAAATAAGAAAGAAAAAATTTACTTTGATATTTGAGCAAATTACTTCTTAAAAATTAAATACAAAATATTAATCTCCAATAACTAGTCTATTAGTAATGCCACATAAGGAAATGATTTTTAAGAAAAACGCCTCCAATAGCAGGTTAATGTCAAATGTGAAGGTGAGTTGAGAAAATATGAAAGGCTGTGTCAATTGATGGACATGGTGGAGCACAACGTGAAGACCGTCCAGGGCTTGTTTGGCAATCTGTTCTTAGCAGTTGGCGGATTGTATTAGTTGTTTTGACAATCGGCTATTTTGACCAATGGTTGGTAAAAAGTGTGATAAATTGATAGTTTACATTAGCTGTTTACATTTAAAATTACTTAATAACGAAATTTAGATACTCAAATATTTTTTACGTTTACAATTATAATTACTTAAAAATATAAATCATTTACATATTTAAAATTTAGTAAAATGTTTATTTTTATTGTGCTTCGTGCTTTTCATTCAAACATCAAATGAAAACTGAAAGCTTGTAAATAAGAAAAAAAAAAATCTATATATATATAGAGAGAACCTATTTACCAAAAATAGTAACAAAAAAAATCCGTCAAAATTAATTGTATGTCACTTTGGGAAATTATTTGAATTGTATTTACCATAAAATCAGGCAGCATTAAATGCTCCCTTAAATGGTGGGCTTATTCTATTATGCTTTATTCATTCCAATTTAGCTTACCTTCCTTATAATCAAATTCCTAATGAACATTAAATTTGCTTATATAGTTTTAAATTAATTACATCTATAAATAATATTAATATAAATATTCATTATTAGATAAAAATAAAATCACTTCTATAAGTGTTATAAATACTAATGACATTATACGACAATAAATTTTTGAATAAAATAATATTTGAGTATTATGATGAAACAAAATATGTAATATTATTACTTTTTCTGTATTAAAAAATAAATATATGTTAAAATATTATTTATGTTATTATAAATGGGTCAGCGGGCTAATATATTGTTAAAATAAAGTTTTTAAAAAAATATTTTAAAATACTAAACCCCGTGCATTGCACGGGATTTTCACTAGTTGGAAAAAGAGAAGATAATTTAGTGACCAACAAATTATGTCAGTAACCGTACACAGCCAAGTGACAATAAGTAAATACTATTTCGTCTAAATACTATTTTCCAAACGTAGCCATTATCAAAATTAATGAATCATTGTTCAAGACTACAGTTCCTTGCTGCCATGTTCTAAAACCTTGCATGACGATTATTTTACTGAATGTTAAGTGCTCAATAAACAAAGCTTAATAAAGGTGTATAGCTAAGTAGCATATGCAGCCCATTTCTTCTTTTCTTTTTTCCAAAAAACGAAGAACTTCACAGAACTTAGCTAAACAACATTAAGAAAAGCATTAGCTATCAAGGCACTAAGGAATTTGACATCAGATATATTACCAGTTTTTGAGAGCTGAAGCTTCATCTTGGCTCTGACTCTTTCAGCCGGCGTCTATAAAAAAAATAAAACCAGAATTACCACTATAATCAAGAATAGCTAGAGCCCAGACAGTTAAAACAAGGAAGCTTGAGAAACTCATGGCATCAACACTTCAGACATTTATCCGCCTTAGATAGAAATACATGAAAAATGTGAAGATTATCCCAAACGATAGACATTCTTGAGATTATGATCCACTGTGATGAAGACAGAAAACCTATGCCAATATCAATTCAGCTGCTAAGAAATGTTTCCATAAAAGACACAAGCCTTCAGGAGACTCATTCAGACTGAAACATGGCATCAAAGCTCACTGAGAAAAGGATAATAAAAAATAAAAAATGCATCTCACATAAGATAACTAAAAAAGCACACAGATTGAAGGACTAACCATTACCGACTGTTAAATAAAAACACAAATCAACAACAGAAACGTCAAGGACAAAATTTCTCAGTCAATGGTCACAAAGCTCCTTTTTTTTTTTTTTGTTGCTACACACTATCAAAGCCGAAACTACACTCTTAATTACTATGAAAAATGAGGATGTAACCACTCTAGTTTGAGCATGGCCCGAATGTTCTTCACCATATTAATCAACTTAATACCAATGTAAGTACATAGCATGAAATCCCGACAGGTATTCACATCCCAATACAGTCAAGAAGCTCAAATGCCACCACAAGAAATTCAAAAACTCAAAATTTACAGGCATCAACAAAACCCAAGATTCAATCTTGAAGAATAGCCCAGCATACACTTCCAAATTTCAACAGAAAGAACTCACCATATTATTATAGCCTTCAATCGATTTGGCATAATCAATTCCACCACTACACCTAACCTCCCGTTTACTTCTCTCCCTATTCTTCTCTCTACTGCGACTTCTAGACCGACGTTTACGCCTCCCTTCATCATCATGGCTCCGGCTCCTCCTCCTGGACCGCCTATCACGGCTCCTGCTCCGACTCCTGCGCCTGGAATGTCTATCTCTGCTCCGGCTACGGCTA